AAAACATAATCGTACATTTGATATTTGATTGAATTTTTATTGTTTTAACTTGTTGGGCCGCTGGACACGCCACTGCACACACAACCCGTGGAAAGGGGTTCATAATGTTGTAAATCCAAGCTCGTTATGTATTCATGATCTGAATCCTGGGTTGTGTGAAATCCCAGAAACAAACCCTACACAAAGTGAATCTGTGAACTAAGGTGTAGGTCTATTAGGTTATGTTGAGGCGATCCTTGAGTTGGGGGATTTGTGTTCATACTGGAGTGCAAAATGAAAACCAATGGAAGATGGACAAGAAAAGTTCAAAGCCATCAGGTGCTCAGTTTAGAAAAAATAGAAAAGGAGGAGAAACGAGCAAAAGATGCAGGTAAGCAGATGTGTGATTGGATAATGGCAGGTCATCCTGAAACAATCAGAGTCAGAATACTTTATTAATCCCTAAGGAAATTATGTGCGTTACAGTTGCTCCAAGATGAAATGGTAAATTGTTGATTTGTCCTGTTCTCATTGTATGACGAATTATGATGGCTGTTTGGTAGCCGTTAACTTCATTTTAACAAGATTAACGCTGACAGCGCTAATAGTTATGACTAAATAAAACAGTTATTTATTCCATATCAGTTCAAAAACGAACGTGACTTTTATAACGTTCAAATGTGACCTAAATCAAAAGATTAACAACTAAAATCAATCCAAAGCAGACGCACAGAGCAGCAGGTGATGTGAAGTGTGAAGTTTATTGGTGTTCAGGAATGTCAGAGCACAGCGAGTCGACATCGAAGCGGCCTGAAGGGCTCTGGGGTCGGCGGCAGGGGTGGACAAAATAACAGAAACAGTTTGAAACAGCTCTGCAGAACCATAAATATACATCTGTTTAATCACCTGTAACTGAGGATACAGAGAGCAGATGAGCTCCAGGAGGTTTTGAGGTGTGAGCTGGTTTTGGTGAAGATCCCAGGTTGTTTCTCAGGGATACAGAAACGACAGCTTTTACTTTGTGTTACCACAAACAGAAAAAAAAACCTTTTTGTTTAAATAAAATACAGAAAACAAGTAAAAATGATCACAGGCCAAACATGGAAGAGCATAAAATCTGAATGAAACCTTCACCGCAGAGCTGTTTGTCCTTTCTCTATGATTTTATCCACCTTTCATGAACAGAAGCATTAAACACACAAACTTTTTGGTTTCCGTACTTTTCCCCATAAATTTAAAACCACTTCTTTTTTCTTTTTTTTAAACACGTGTTGTATGATCCTCGATCTTCACAACCAACATCACAGGAAGTCAAATGAACTGCATACTTTTGAAGTACTACACACATAATGGTACACATGTAACGAGCACAGTGAGAGTCTGAACTTTTTCTTTGAGGTGATTTTTTTTTTCTTTTAAGAGGAAAACGTGATTTGACCTAAACCTCAGAGCAGCGTCTGAAAAACAAAAACCTTTAAAACAAAACAAACAACGCTTGTTGTTGAGATGCTTTGAAACGAGTCCACGTTCAGCCGGAGCACAAGGCCATAACAGAGACTTGTTAGAAATATTTGTTTTATGTTGAGCTGCCACATTAACTCTTAACAATCAAATAAATGTAAAAAGCAGAACTTAAAATTAAAAACGCAGACTGCTCAGTTTCCCCTTTTTGATTGTAATCATTTCCTGTTTCGATGACAGGAACAGGAACGAGCGGATCGTTTACACGTCAGAAATTTTAGTCGATTAACAGAAGATTTATTTTATACTCACTAATTTCTATATCAGATCTGAAGCCTGTCTGTGATCTCATCCTGTAGAGAGCTCAGGTAACATGAACAGACGGCGATGTCGCAGATTTCTCATTAACTGGACGGACTTCCAGCCGGTGACAGGAAACGGAAAGTTCAACTTCCTTAAATGAGTTCCAGAGTTTAACTTCAGCTAAACAAAGGTGTTTACAACCAGCACAACTCAGCTGGCTGCAAACACCTTTAAAACTCAGTGTAACGGTTACTTGTTGGCAAATATTTAAATTTAAAGATTAATTAAACCCACAGGATTTAAAATTAACTGACAGATTTCAAACTGCGGCTTCAGACACTGGCTGATGACCTGAGTGAGAGGAAGACACTGAAGCAACGTGAA